CCCCCCCCCCCCCCCCCAAGTTACGTTTTGAACATGTTGCAGTTTGTTGACTTGCTATCAGCTTTCTAATTGTGAAGTTCTGAAGACTAGTGCAAATAAGCTAGAAGGAAAGTGTTTTTATGAGTTGACATAAATCTGATAGGATGTGCATGAATATCCGGGAAGTGTGATTGTCAGTCTGTAGAGCAGGTGTAATTAGTTGAAGCAGAATGTTTTGGATATCTCTATAGGATCACAGGAAACAAGGAGAAATAAATGAATGCCATGATCAACAACCTGTGAACGGTATTTGGATCGCATACATATGCAAGTGTGCGAAGTGGTGCGATCGTTATTGGCTTCAGAGCTGTCTCGTCTGCGTGGTGCGGCGCCCGAGAAGCTGGTGGATGAGTTGGAGGAACTGCGTGCTGCCCATAAGGCAGAGCAGGAGTTGGCTGCCAGTGGTGTCTCCTGGAGTATGAGGAGTGTTGCGTGTGCCCCAACCCTTCGTCTGCCTCTCTTGCTGGTGTGTGCTCTTCAGATTGGACAGCAGTTCAGTGGAATCAATGCTGTAAGTGTATTACAGTGGTGCTGCCTGTGTATGAAACATGATGTTCAATCCACTCTCATATTAACTCGCATACTTTTCTGGTTACTCCATTGCCACATATAATGTAGTAGGGTGCAGTAAAATGTTTCCTGGGGCAGATATGAATTTAATTGTAGTGTATATAATGGACATTTAAAGGAAATAAAGAAAATAGGAAAAATTGGTCTGATAGCATTAGAATACTGAATGTAATTGGTGCAGCAAGGGCTTAATTTTTTTTACCAAAATATGTGGGTATGTTTTATGAAATAGATTTGTATGTTCAGCACTGAAAATTTGTCACTCTTCAAATTTGTTTTTGTTTCTCTTTGTGTCTGAGCATAGGCTGCATTCAGCTTTCTCGCCTCTTTCTCAGCACCATTCAACCACCTTAGTTCTATCGCTCTGCTGATTATTATTATTGTTGTTGAAGAAGTCCATTTATAGTAGAATTATAGTATATGCTGTACATCATTCATCTGTAAATATGAATACCTGCAATTGACATCACCTGAGTTACAAGTATTAATACTCCCATACTCACCTCTTCTGTATGTGACCATTCTTATTCATCCAGTATTGACCACAAAGACATTTATTTTAAAATAGGCACCAGAACATGTATGGTGAAAATGATTTTAGGTTATTCTTAAAATACAATCTTGCTACATTTAACCTTTATCTTAATTCAGTAGAGGTTATAATATCCTGTGCTGTGGGACTGCCTGCTAAACTTAAATTCTAGGGTTAATGGTTCAATGGTATGGTACTGCAATGTATGGCCAGCTTCACAGTGCATAAGCTGCAACATTCAGGTGATAAATATTAAATTGTATGCAGATACTGCTGCACCTCTCATATTTATTATGAAAAGGAACATGTAATGTGGTATACTAATATTGTGCTGCTTGTGACAGGTGTTCTACTACTCAGTTACCATTTTCGAGAGTGCTGGTTTGACCAAGCAAGGTAGCCAGTTTGCCAGCATTGGTGCTGGTGGCATAAACCTTCTCATAACAATCATTGCCATCCCTCTTGTGAACAGATGTGGGCGCCGTCAATTGGTTATCGCCAGTTGCTGGACTGCAGCTGTCTGCCTAGTCATACTTTGTGTATCAATCACTTATATTGTAAGTTAAACACATTTATTTTTAAATGTGGCAGAATATCAGTTATGAGACTCATATTCCTTTGCTTCAAAAATTGATCATCATTTAATTAAAAATTTCTGTGGCATGGCCTGCTGACTAGCTATGTGCTTGTTTTTCACATTTGGATATAAGATGATGTACCTTGCTGGAATATTGAGAAATCATTCATGCTGTATATGCCAGAAAGAGGACATTCTGTGCGGGTTCTTTACATATTGTATATTGCATTGTTTTCATCTTATGCTACAGCATATATAATCGTTGATTTGTGCTGAAAACATATCTTATAATTTATGTACTGTAAAAGTAAGCAAAGCAGGAAGACATGCCAGCTGGTATTTTCTGAGAGCCAAGATTTTCTTTTTTTCTTTTAGAATTAAGTTCTTGATTGGCAAAATTGTGTATTACAGGAATGTTCAGTAATGTAGTGATAACTGATTCACCATTTTGGCAATACTAAATCAGCTGCAGAGTAGTAGAAAGTAGTAGTAGTCACTACAATGGGTAAATTGAACTTTGGATGATGACTTGTCTTGGTGCAGTATAAATTACACGGAATAACTACTGTTTAAAATATGACACTTCAATTTGAACTTGGTATTGCCAAAATGCAAGCCAGACAAACATCTTACGGTTGAATAAAACTTGGTGTTACAGCACTGGAAATTAATACTACTGGTTACTGGAGTATTTACCATCTTCTATCCTTTGAGAAGTTTGATCAGTTCAAATTAAAAAAGAGAGTTACTGAATCATAAATTTCCTAATGAGGTGTAAAACTCAGAACTGTTTCTTTTACAGTCTTTCTTTTGTAAGAAACCCTACAAAGTTTTTGTGTTTGGGATTGAACAGATATGGAATAGAAAACCAGGAATTAAATTGTAGTATAGCATTGTCTGGAAGCTAGTTTTTGTCTCCATATTCAAATGGTTACAATTTGCTCACCTTTTTACAATCATCGTTTTCATTGTTTCAGAATGCTGCGTCATGGATGCCATACTTCTGCATCTTTACCGTCCTTGCTTATGTTTTCTGTTACGGTTTTGGATTGGGTCCCATTCCATATTTTATTGGCTCAGGTTAGTTTGTGTTTGTATGACTAAATTTCATTAATGGTACATGAATCTGTTTGCTAATTTGTATCTTGTTATGCATTACAGAATTGTTTCAAGTGGGTCCTCGTCCAATTGCCATGTCTTTCGGCAGCATGGCCAACTGGTGTGGTAACTTCATTATTGGAATGACTTTCCCTAGCCTTCAAAGCTTTATTGGTCAATACTCATTTCTCCTTTTTGCCACCACTACTGTTTTCCTCGCTGTCTTTCTCAAGTAAGTTGTAACATTTGCATTGCTTTCTTTTTCCTTTCACATAAATTGGTAACTTTGTAGAAATTTTAATTTTATTGGGTCTGAAAAATCTAACGGGAACAAAATTTTATTTCTCTTTACTTTATATTATTTCCTCAATTCTAAATGTAATTTCTTGCAATCACTTCTTCATATATTATATTCAGTGTCTTGTTGTGACTGTTGCATTGCCATTGGTTATTCTTGTTCATGCAAGCAAGAATGACCAATGCTTGGCTCTAGTTAACTCCACTGTGAGTTGTAGCATGCATTGTTGGTGTTCAATATGTAGTGACTGGCCCCACAGTTAGTGCCCTCCTGATTTACAAAATGGTTTATTTCAGATACTATCTACCTGAATCAAAAGGCCGTGATCCATGTGACATAGCTGAAATTCTCAAGTATGGCCTCCGAAGTCAGATACATGCTCCAGTGTCATCTTCCCGCACGAACCACCGAAATTCATCTATTATATGTGCCCCTGATGCAGTTAGCATTTCATCCCGCCATCAACGCATCTCGGATATTAATCCGGATTCATTGGTTCTGGAGGTTTCTTCTCCTCTGTCGTCTTGTGAAGCTTTCTCTAACTCAACTGTGTTGAGCTCACCTGCTGCTATAATTCACCACAACAATTCCTATACAAATCTTCCTGCCATTCCTGAACTCCCAGGTAAGAACCCCATTCTTCCTTCCATCATTAATGAGTCTAGTCCTAGTGATGTTATGTCTGGTCAACCTGTGCGTTCCTTGCCTCGAATAATGCCAAGCATACCAGAAAACTTGGCAGGGGCCAGCAGCCAACTGGAGGAAGTGCTGACTGTCACAGATGGCTGATCGTAATGGTGTGTCTGATGGACAGAGGGACAATCTGTAATCAGTTATTTAAGGTTTACTGTAAGCATGAATCCAGTTACAAATTTGGTTATTGTGGCTGAAAAGTGGGAACAAATTAGCAGCTACAAAGAAAGTTGAATTGATGTCATACCTCAATTTATGATAAATTATGTCTCTCTCTAAATGGTAATTTTTAAGTTATAAAGCAAGATGGGTTAATGGTTAGCAAGAAGCAGTGGTTTATAAGTACAACTACAAAATAATACTATCATAACTCATTTAATAATTTATTTTTCATCACCCTGTCAGTCCGTGTGCATTTCTATAAATGCCATTCCTTGGACTATGATAGATACTACGTTTATATAGTAACCATATTTAGTGTTCCAAGAGTTGATTGATTACTGGATATAGCAACTTCCCACAACAAATCCAATGACCTTTTAGAGGCAGGTGTTCCTTAACTTCATAATTCTGATTAAAATATGCAATTCCAGTTGTCTTTGTATCTGGCTATTCAAAAAAATAAAGTTTGCCTATGCAGGTCACACACTATATTAGAACACTGCATGTAAGATTACAGTTTTTCAATGCAGTGAAAATTCAGATGTGTGTGCTAGGCTAAGATTCTGAATTTACATGCAGGTGGTTATCTGTTTTTGTCAAATTTATCTTCAAGGTAGAACATGGAAGCAGTTGGCACTTCAAGAATGTTGGTAATCACACAATAATCCTGGAGAATGCATTCTAAATAAATTCTGCTTGCCATTGTCATGTATATAAGTGGTCTAAATATAATGTAGTTTTCTGTCTGGTGCCATGTTGCTGTTCACAAATGTGATTCATAAAGTACATTATTGAGTTGGTTTGATCTGTGTGAATGTGATTTGTTTCTGTATTAGGCTTAGCTTAATCTCAGTTATGTATGCAGGCATGATACAGTTTCATTCGGTATCTTATGACATTGCTGTATGAGGCTGGAAGCTTTTAAAATATTGTATTATTATTCAAAATATCTTGCAGTATGTTAGGTATGATACATATGCAAGATGTTTTGAAAGTGTAGTAGAAGGAGAGTTAACTTATCTTCAGAAACATTTGTACTTATATGCAGTATTTTCTCTTCAGTCAGAATTTTCCATAACTTTCTACCTTTCCTTTAAAAGTAAAACCAGACTGAAAGGTTAGCTCTGTGAATCACTGGTGCTTTTACTCTGAATGTGTTAAAACTTTGATATTAAATAACAAAACAGTATTTTTGAGAAATGTAAAAGTGGAACAGGTATGCACAAATTGTACCACATGTATATGGATGAAGTTGTGCTGGATATGATCTATCCACATTATTTCCAATTTTAAATTGTGTAATACTGTAGATTTAAAATTTTTACAAATAAATTTTATTGGTTTAAAAATTTTATGTAAAATTCCATAGTCCTCCCAGCCATTGATCCACAGTCATCGGCTGTGGACTCAACCTAGATCTCTATTCTAGACAGGAGTATGCATTCAGGAAAGAATTTCTACCAGGTAAAGTACCAAACTTGTTAAAAATTGGACATCCACTTGTGGGACAGTCAAGTATTTCTTGTGTTGCATGTGTGTGTGGTGACCAACAGACTGGCAAGATTTTGTAAATGCTGCTGAGAACGCTCGTCCACAAGCTAGAAATCTGCGGGGGGAAAAAGAGAGATTAGGGAACGAAACATAGACATCCTATACATTGGTCATCCCCAACCTTTTTGTGCCTATGGACACATTTTGAGAGTTTATATCAGATCCTGGCGGGCACCAACCAATTAAAAAAGTGGATGGGAGGAGAATTTTAATATTAATGAGCACATGCTACTCTTCAGAGTTTCATGAAATTCAACAATATTTCATAAATAACTGAAATACTTTTCAATAGCAATGCTTTCAATTTCTTAGATAAAGAAGATTGGTTTTCATGTTTTGATCCTTTGTTTGAATATGTCTACGTTCTGATACTGTAACGTTCAGAAACAGGCCATGCTGAATGTAGACTTTATGTAATATGCACAGAATAAGTTTTTTGTTTTCTCTGTTTTAAATTTCAGGGACAGAGCTGGTGGAACATGGCTACCTGTCTCAACACAATCTCATGAGGTTCATGCATCATGAATAATTACTGGTATTATACAAGGTTCATACAAGAATGTAGTGTATCAATGAAGGTTGTGTAGTTATTGAAGATGTTTCTAAGTGCAATCCATCCTAAAATAAGTGCAGGAACAACTTTGATATACTTTACATTTATAGGAGTTTCTCATAAGGAGAAACATAGGACATAGATGTGTATTCTTGTTGCATCTCCTGCATTAATGACTGGGGTCAAGTCTTGAGATCAGTGCTACTACCAATGAGAATTAAAATTCAAAACCATATAATCAGAAGAAAGGGTATTAGTTTGGCTACTCTGTTTGTTCTGGTATCAAGTCAAAATAACTGATGTGTTACAGACTTGTCGAAAATATGTCTGAACGAAGTGTTGCGTTGGTTTCCACCAGGAGGAATTAACTGAGGAAGACCAAGAAGGAATTTTAATATTATTAAACCTATTATATTTTCACATGTTTCATGAAAGTTATTTATAATGCAACATACACTATATGCAACTGTTATAAGTTATACGATACCTGTAGGAGGTGGCTTTGCAATTTCAAACAACACTGTACCACTCTCCAAATCACGAATTTTGAAATGTGTGAAGTCAATATCATATACATTGGCTTCAGGTGAGCACAAATAATCTGAAATGTTTTAAAAAAAAATCACATTATCAAGCAGAAGAAACTCTCACTACAATGTGATATTCAAGGACAATCATAATACTAACTATCTGTTATTCTTGGAAGCCGCAGCACATCCTCAGGTGAGACGAATCCCTTCTTCACCACTGACTCTTCTGTAACAAGATCTGTAAACGAAACAAGTTTTTATGGTTGTTGGTGCCATTTATGAGGGACTACAGAAAAGAGTTGTCACATCACTATTCAAGAAAGGAAGAAACAACTTTTGAATTCTATGGAGTTCTATACTTAATTCGGTATTTCACTGTCATGATTTCGTGACGTAGCTCGATTTTCACATCATTCTTGTAATAATAAAGGTTTCATTTGCTATTATTTAGTTTGAATTTACTTAACCCTCTTTTCTGATCATGCAACTCATCATAAGGTATCGCATTAATATGATATAAACAATTACCTCCATCTAATATTACGGTGTCTTTACGCGCTTTGGCTTGTCTTACACCGACATTTGTAACCACACTTTTTTTGTATGTGTGTGTGCAGCGTTGCTCATAATACTCATTTCTACGTACGTTTAGTTCAAACACCTGATTATTCTCTTGACCACACACACTGCATACACTTTCCAACATAGACATACACATAAATTAACAAAAATATGAACAATGTAAACCTCTTATTAACGAATCAATCACAATTTTCTTTTAGATTTGCTAAACTATGATTCCAATACATATCAAAAGATGTCGCGTTAAAGTAACGGCTCTGTTTTTTTTCCCAGTTGGCTGCAGGTTGCTGGGTCGTGGGTGATTACGATTGTGGGAAAGAAATAATGTCTGGTGAAGAGAGATGCCAGTTGTACAAGATGCTAACATATTATGACAAAGAAACAAGCAGAAATTTAATTTATATAAAAATTAATCATAAAATAAAGGTAAGTTGAGATTTGAGGTCCTCACGGCGACGAGTGTGAAGATGGCTGCTTTGTGGAGTGTTGATCCGTATAATATTGTAGATAAATTCTAAATCCTACAAACATAAAGTTTGCTGACATTTCAGAGATGTTTGCTGCCCCCATCATCAGGACGGTCAGCTACAAATTTCACATCTTGTCAGAAACTAGACAAATGAGTGTGAAAGCGTAAACATAGATTTATGTCTATCAAAATTACATATCTTTGTTTGCTTACACTGTTCTTGTAAATGTTCCAGGTCTGTGATGCTGACACATGACAAGGACTTGGTTTCATCACCATCTGCTGTAACAGCGAGCGACTACTGACACACAGCTGTATGAAGCAGGTAATTTAACAGTTTGAGGTTTCCATGATAGTGAAAATGTGGATTGTAGTCTAATGGGTTGTGATGCTTCATAACCTTGTAGGTGGTTGCCAATGTCATAACTACCATCAAAACCTCAGACTTCATATAGTTAAATAAAACATTGTAATCTGAGACTTTTGAGCTACGTGGGTAATGGACAATATTACACAAAGATAAACATTGTGGTCTATACTCCTTTCCTATCTTTGTTGCTTTATTGTATCAGAGATGTCTGTGGTTCTCTCATGTAGCACACAAGATATAAGAAGCAAAGTCATATGAAAATTGGAAGATTAAGCCTAAAATGAAATAATAGTACTCAGATGCTAATGTAATTGGCTAAGGAGAGTTGGCCAGTCCTGTACATTGCAGCTTGAATATAAATTTTAGAATCTGTTTGAAAATGATTACAATTTTAAATAGGAGTGTGATACAAAGGCCAGTTAATGAAGGTGCCTTCATCATTGGATCATAATGAGATAAACAAGTAATACTTTTTAAATAATTTATATGAAGTACAAGTCACTTGTTCAGCTCCATGCATTTCATTGTTTCTTGCAGAACATTACCACATAGAACAGTAGTCTTACATGAGACTGTAACCTGCATTTTGCAATAAATTTGGCCTTTCCCACACTTTTCTCTGTTACCTGTGATTTTGTTGACAAGTCAAAAACTTTTGTAGGGTTTGAGGTTTTCACAGCGGTGAGTATGAAGATTTCCATCTTCTGGGTTGTTGCGCTGTGTAGTCTGGTCGATGTTAACCAACGTTTCAGAGGTCATACTGCCTCCGTCATCAGGGCACCCTGATGACGGAGGCAGTATGACCTCTGAAACGTTGGTTAACATCGACCAGACTACACAGCGCAACAACCCAGAAGATGGAAATCTTCATACTCACCGCTGTGAAAACCTCAAACCCTACAAAAGTTTTTGACTTGTCAACAAAATCACAGGTAACAGAGAAAAGTGTGGGAAAGGCCAAATTTATTGCAAAATGCAGGTTACAGTCTCATGTAAGACTACTGTTCTATGTGGTAATGTTCTGCAAGAAACACTGAACAGCATGGAGCTGAACAAGTGACTTGTACTTCATATAAATTATTTACAAAGTATTACTTGTTCTATTACTTATGATCCAATGATGAAGGCACCTTCATTAACTGGCCTTTGTATCACACTCCTATTTAAAATTGTAATCATTTTCAAACAGATTCTAAAAATTATAATGAAGCTGTAATATACAGGACTGGCCAACTCTCCTTAGCTAATTACATTAACATCTGAGTACTATTATTTAATTTTAGGCTTAATCTTCCAATTTTCATATGACTTTGCTTCTTATATCTTGTGTGCTACATGAGAGAACCACAGACATCTCTGATACAATAAAGCAACAAAGATAGGAAAGGAGTATAGACCACAATGTTTATCTTTGTGTAATATTGTCCATTACCCACGTAGCTCAAAAGTCTCAGATTACAATGTTTTATTTAACTATATGAAGTCTGAGGTTTTGATGGTAGTTATGACATTGGCAACCACCTACAAGGTTATGAAGCATCACAACCCATTAGACTACAATCCACATTTTCACTATCATGGAAACCTCAAACTGTTAAATTACCTGCTTCATACAGCTGTGTGTCAGTAGTCGCTCGCTGTTACAGCAGATGGTGATGAAACCAAGTCCTTGTCATGAGTCAGCATCACAGACCTGGAACATTTACAAAAACAGTGTAAGCAAACAAGGATATTTAATTTTGATAGACATAAATCTATGTTTACGCTTTCACACTCATTCGCCTACTTTCTGACAAGATGTGAAATTTGTAGCTGACCGTCCTGATGATGGGGGCAGCAAACATCTCTGAAATGTCAGCAAACTTTATGTTTGTAGGATTTAGAATTTATCTACAATATTATACGGATCAACACTCCACAAAGCAGCCATCTTCACACACGTCGCTGTGAGGACCTCATATCTCAACTTACCTTTATTTTATGAGCAACGCTGCACAAAAAAAAAAGTGTGGTTACAAATGTTAGTGTAGACAAGCCAAAGCACGTAAAGACACCGTAATATTTGACGGAGGTAATTGTTTATATCATATTAATGCGATACCTTATGATGTGTTGAATGCATGTTTTGGTCTGACATTTTCCAATCAGCCGAAGTACACATATCAGTGGTGACAATGACAATGTACAAGAAATTAAAATTAATTCTTCTGCAACTACAGTTAACAAAAGTAGAAATTACATAAACTATGCATATCCATGAATACTTCTCATTTATTCAAGTGCAACAGGGCAATGGAGGAAACTTTGAGGGGAAGACAATCCACAGCTTCCCTGTCATGTGGATGTTTCCACTTGTCAGGTCCTCATCAGTTTTCTCACAAAAGTAATTTTAGTACCAAAATCTTTTGCTTTATATTCAATGGGCATAGGAAACATGCTCCAATTACTGTATCCTTTCACATTTTCTATTTCAAATCAATTTTTGTCACTGTTGCTGTTGTAATGCCACTTCACCTGGAACATGACTACTTCACTTGCATGGAAATCACAATGGTAATTGCACCAATATTCTTCATCAGTTAATTTAAAACCTGAAAGAGTTTTACATGATACATGTTTGACATTATTACTACAAACACAACAAGGATAATGAGAAAAACATCAAATAAACAATATGCACTATTTAGACACTATAAAATATGGAGAATTAACACATTCTAATGTAAGACTATACTAAACAGCAATTTAACCATAGGTTTTAAAACAAATTATAATAAGATTTAAGAAGTACAATACAAACATTAATGTAACAAATGGGCCCATTTGCAATAATTAAAATAACACACACACACA